TCTCATGAACCTTCAAAACTAACAGTCCAGGGCTTCCTTCCAGGACAGGGCTCACAATGAGAAGCAACTGCTGGGAGCAGAATCAAAATTAAGTAGGACAAGGAAGAAGGAAAAGAGAAGGGCGGAAGGGGTGGGATCAGAGTCAGGAATCCTCAGAAAACAAGCTGCCACGTTAACAGAAGGGGATGCTTATAAAGTTATGTTATCTGAACCAAGATTCTTTCTAAATATTCAGGAAAATTAAATTCACATTAAAAAGAAATAGGGGTACATAAGTTAAATCCCATACAAAGTTATAAATAGTAAAAAAAAGAGGGAATAAGAAATAGAATAACATCTCCGCAAGAGAGCAAGACAGAAAGACGTACTCAACAGATCAAAAGTAGAATGCCCTATATCCAAATGAGCTAAAAGATATTTAGAAAATTATATGAAAGAATATGAATCAAAATTAGACTACGAACCCAGAATAACCAATCTTAAGACATAATCTTAACAAAATTGTTGGACTTAAAAAAAAAAAACTTTGAATAGTTTGGATAAAAAGTGCATATAACTTACAATTCACTCAACTATATATTTGTTGTGTGAAGTTATCTGTGTTTTATTTTACAATAGAAAGATTTCTTAAAGCAAAAGAAGGGAACTAACATTTAGTTTTGCACCTATTATTTCAGGTGCTTTATTCATTCTTAACAATATGTATTTCTATTTTATAGATGAAAATAAGAATCAGATAAAAAATCATGTTATTTGCCTGGGAACATACTGGCAAAAGCAAGACTAAAATACAGGTCTTTCCAAACCCCAAAACAATTGGAAGGAAAGTGGGTAAACAAACATATTTTTAGAAGGCTACCTTCAAAGTTATTTTATTTTTAATATTTTGGTACTAAAAAGATAGAAGCTTTATTACTTTAGAAAGTTTGCTTATGTGAGTGAAATAATGTTCTGATGTCTGAGAATGTGTTACTGTACTATATAAATTATTTTGGAAATTGAATTTCAAAAATATAAAACTTGGGTAGTTAATCTTCAAAAAGGCCTTTCACTTTAGAAGCTTTTAATTGTCAAAAGGAAATTAAAAGTTTTAAGATTAAAAGAGATTTTAAAAACACCTTCCGCACAGACATTTTAGTGATCTGAGGTACTCAATTACCCAGAATAATCCTTTCATTACCAAAAGGCTACTGAAAGTTTGACCATATTTACCTATCTAAACTTACCACACCCTAAATAAACCCTGGAAAAACAGTATATTTTCTTCACAAAATTATCCACCACCTCAGGTACTTTAGAAATGTCAACTTCACAGAAGGTTTTCCATAAGAGACCAACCATCTCATACCCAATGTTAAATAAAGTTTGAACCTACCACTACAGAGTTAAACGCAAGAGTTAAGACCCTAGCTCTTGTCTTTATATGCTTGGTCTACCCTCCTCTTTTATTTTGAAAAATTTTAAACCTATAGAAAAAGTTGAAAGTATAGTAAAATGAACAACACCGCCCTCCACCTAAATTCAGCATTAGTAACATTTTGCCACATTTGCTTCTTTCTTTCTCTATATACTCCCCCACTCTTCAAACTACAAGAAAGCAAGCTGTAGGTACTTCATTCTCCAAAAATCTTCTCAGCATGCACCTCTTACAAACAGGAATATTCTCCTACATAATTACAATACCATTATTACACTCAAGAAATTTAACACTGATAGTATCCACAAACAAATTTCCCAAAATATTACATATAATGTCCTTTATGGCTTTTTAAAAAAATTCCAGAATCCTATCAAACCATACACAATGTTGTGTCATTGTCTCCTTTAATCTAGAACTATTTACTTTACCTTTTTATGGTCTTTCATGATGTTGACATTTTTTAAAAGTTCAGACTACCTTTTTGTTGAATGTCCTAAACCAGGATTTGTTTGTTGCCTTATGATTAGATTCTAGAAATAATTTTCGGCAACAATTTTACATTGGTTATGTTATCATGCTTCCTCCTGACGTGATAACAATAAGGACAAAATGTTCATTTGTTCTACTACTAGTAATACTGACTTTAATCACTTGGTTAACATGCCTGTGTGCTTAAAAGGAAAAAATCTGTTTCAAGTCCTTTCCCTGCTTAAAACCCTCTAGTAACTTCCCCTTATAATAAAGTTCAATACAGTCCAAAATAATTTTCAAACCCTATGAGGCCTTGGCCTACTTTTTAGCCTAAACTGCTCTTTAAACTCTCCATGGTCCCAGGAGTGGTATGCTGTCCTCCTGCAGACAAATCCTAGCAAGGATTAATCAATCTTAAACATGCCAAATGAAAAAAGTCAGACATCTCTGAAATCACACTGTATTTTAAGTTTTCCATTAGCTCAATGATACCACTGTCATTGCCGTGGTCACAGTTATGTACAATTTGCCATAAAATCCCTTAAGAGAAAGCGATTCCCAGAGCACCTCAGGAAATTTCTCTTAGCGCAGAAAAATGACCTGAGGGTTCAGGCAAAGAAATACAGGTGAGCTTGGTTAAAAGTCATCTAGAATAGACATGTTAGAGTTTTATGTAAACTCATCATCTACGTCATTCCTCTAAGTATTTCATGAACAGTTGAGTACGATCTCCGAAAAGTGTAGTGGATCGTTTTTCCTAGTTGTATGTGATTGGACAAGCGCAACCGCTTAACATTCAGTCGCCAAAACACTGAAAAACCATTTGACAGACTGAGTTCTGGTTATTACCTGAAAAACTTCCATTGACATCTTCTGGTAAGATCAAGGAAGTGCTAGCATCAAAACTTGCAGAATGAATTGTCAATGGCATAGAAAAAAATCCCAAAAGTAACTGAGCACTCTCAAGAAATGCTGAACCACCAAAATTCTTGATGGCATAGAAGATATATGAGAAAAAAAAGACCTGGACAACTAACTCAAATCAAAAGGTAATTTAGAAGAGTCAGACTGAGCATGGAGATTTAGAAATATCAAAACTAATTTATTTCATACATATACAAAGATAATCTTTATCTGCGAATAAGTGGTATATGATTCTAAAAAAAAGGTCTAAGTCTTATATATAAAAATTCTGGGTGTAATTATTAAATATAGGTGATAGTTATACAGTTGTTCATTTTATGTAACAAATGTATAACATGCCTTTAGGAAATGGTGTTATACTTGAGACAAATCTAGAAGTCATGATATAACCGTTGATGCATTAATATACAACACTAGATATACATTGAGTTGTATAAGCAATGCTTACCAAACAGCAATTGTTTCATGTTGCCTAAATTATAATCACTAACTTCTGCTGCATTTGTCTTACAATTTCAATACATTTGTAGATATTAGACACTGTAAAAAATTTTGAGCATTCAATTTATCTGAGTTCATTCTTCTCTATCTCCTTCAATCTGAACATGCAACCTATTGGGTTCTATTGGAATTCCTTCCATTTAAATTACTGTTGTTCTCAGTGTTCAATAAGTTTGGGAAATACAAGCCCCTAGTGACATACAGTGTTGTCTTAGCCTTTTATTTTAGTTTATTAATGACTTCATACATGGAGAAAATGCTTTCCCTATAGAGATGCTAAGCTAGTAGGTATTCATCACTCCTACTTTGTTTCTACACAATAAATGGGACCAAACCACCACGATCTCTATATCATTTCTAACTTATTTTTCTCCTCTACTAAATCAATTTGTACTTCTAATTAGAACTTCATATATATTGTTTTGAATAACTGTGTCTCTTAAGTCTTCAAAGTCATTCCAAATTCTCTTCTACCCTTATCTATAAATAAGGTGCCAACAGCTCCTTTCAAGTTCAAGTGGGCACTACTCCCTGAGCATAATGAACAGTTTGAATGTACTATCTAAATCAATGAATTAAAAAAGTAGTTTAGCTTGGACTCAGATATTCCTTTTAGCACCCACTTAAAGACAGCCAGAGCGCCCCAAACAGAAGCCCTAACCATGGAAAGGGCTGAGGAATTCCATCTTCTCAGGTAAAGTAAATACAGTTATGCAAACACCAGGTAAAAAGATAAAACCACAACCCTGTATTATCTTTCTCTTCTAACTTGAGGGAAAATAAAAACTTAATCCAGTGTATCAATTTCTAATCCCAATATTTAAACCTTTTGAAGTAAATAATTATTTTCTCCTTGGATAACATTTATATTAAAAGAGGTCTTACCAGAAAGTTATGGCTATGTTATCTGGTTGACAAACTACACTTATGCAGCCAGTTCTAAATTAAATAAATAAGAAAATTTGGCACTGTTGGCTAAATTAAAGTATACTACTCTTTACATCATGATTTTTAAATCTTTAAAAGTTTTATTAGTTTTTCCATTCAATGGTGAGCATTAGCAAACTGAGAAACAAGGTTATCTATAGGTAAATCTAAACCGCTATCGATCTGCCCAAATCAACCTGCTTATTTCTAAAAGTTGTCACTGTACACATCTAAACATGCAGTAACGACTGTTGTCATACTATTAAAACACTGGAGGGAAAAGTTCTGAACTATGTTCAGTCTGATTATCTCTTCAGTCACCTCACAGGTTTTTTTCTTTATGTTGACCTTTAGTTTCCCAACTGAACTCTGCATTCTTACTGTGACTGAGATCTATCATTTTTAACAGAAAATATTTCTTTTGAAAGTGACATCAATTGTGCACATGTGTGTAGCTTGTTAACATGAAAAAGGACCAAAGATTCTTTGCAAAGAAGCAAACAAACAAATAATACAGATTTATCTCCACATTTCAAGGCCTCACTTCATCTCGCCACACTATCTCAGTACACTAAAGATGACTTCAAGATGACATTCTTCATGCAGCGATGAAAGATAATCAAAGAGCTATCTCTTCCTAAATATACTACTGAGTTTGTGAACAATCAATTTTGCCTCATATAATCACTACTCCTAAAATACTTTTAAGTAATTTTAGCTTAGAAAAGACCTATATTCTTTTCCTTTTCTTTATTTTTTAAATAGGGAACACTTTATGAATTTGTGTGTCATCCTTACACAGGGGCCATGCTAATCTTTCCTGTATCATTTCAATTCTAGTACATGTGCTACTGAAGGCAAGAATTATACATTTTTTTCTTAAGGAAAAAAAATTGTAAAGTTTAAGCAATAGAACATAACAATTTCACAGGTATTAGCACACAGTCTATTTTTCAAAATGCTACTATTATACTTAATAAACCCAGTCGCCTTTCTACACATGACCCTTTCTTTTGTAGCAACTATATGTTGTTGCAAATAATAATGAAATAAAACTTGAAAAGACTATTAAAAAAAATTAGTGAAGCTAATGGGAAGGCATGCATTTTGCCTTTCCAGCAGGAACCCTACCACAAGTAACCATCCGTTAAGGAGAGAAAATTCTTTATTATAAAAGAATTCCAGAAATAATAGAACTAGAATATCGCCATTTTGCAATCCCTAATAAAATAATGAATCTAAGCTACTGTGGTTCACAGAAGGACCAGTACCAGTCTGCAAACTGTTCATAATCTAAAAAACAAAGGTATGTAAATTTTACATAAGCATTCATAAATGTGTATAAGTTGATAGAGTAATTTTATTTCTGTTGACTCTACAATAAAATTTGGGAGCTTTGATTTTTCTTTTTGTTTTAGATTTTTAAAAATGTAATTGGTCTAAAAAATTATTGTAGTTTACAAAATAGCAGTCATTAGTAGAATAAAATCTGTAAAAAAAAAATTTTAACTGAATTTTTACTGCAGATCTGTGAGAAGCCCTGAACTAGGGCACTGGCTATTAAAATTGTCGCATGACACACCGATGAGAAACTTGATAATGGACGGGTAAGTTGGCAACACCAAAATCTACTGACCAATGTTAACATTCAAACATAGAGACTAGAAGTACATAACTTACTCTGAGGCACTAAGTAAACATATGAAGAACACTAGACCATGTGTTTATAACTGTTGAGCCACATGATAGGGATGTTATACTATTTGCTCTACTTGTGCATATGTTTTTAATTTTCCATATGTAACAGACTATGTTATTGGCCCTAATTCTTCACTATTCCCTATACACATGCCTTCTGTCATGTGACTTTGCAGTTTGTCCTGGTATAAGCAGAATATATTTCTTCACTCCTAATACTTGGCTCAACCACGAGACTTGCTTTGGCAAATACAATGAGGGCAGAAGTGATAGTATGCCAAGGCTTAAGCCATCTCAGTGATTCCACTTGCCTCCTGTGCTTCTGCCATCATTCTGCAAGTACCATGAGCCTACTAGTTCCAAGAGAAGGATGAGAGCCATGGAGCTCAGCAATGCTGAACTGACCCACAAATTCATAACCAAGAAATTATGATCACATGTCTTTATGAAAAAAGTGTTTCTAATATCACCTAAGTGAAGTTTTTTTTTAAAGTGGTCTAATACCAAAGAATCCATGTGCAGGTTCTGAATTAATAGCATGTTATGATTCTGCTTTCCCTAGCCATAGATAACAGAAATATATAAGAATGTAGGGCAAAATTATACAAACTGGCTATGATCATGCTTAGTTCTATGATCTTATTTTTAAGACACATTACAGTGATTCTTTAGCTTTAGAGATTAAAATATAAATGCATACTTACCCCCTTCTTAAGGGGTAACTAATGAAGGAAAGAGAAACTAGAGGCATTATTAATTACCTCTAGAGAGCTAGGCCAGGTGAGCCCAAGATGTGCTACACTGGACAGGTTAATGCACCTCACAAACAGAAGTTTCCTTATAAAATACCTAAAAATAGCCTTATATGAAATACTGCATGAATAAGAAGGTTGCATTTTTTTAAAAACTCAACTTTGTTAGATCCGCAGCATTTCCAATTCTCTTTATTTTTCAGCTTTATTGTCAAATTAATTTTATATATGAAATTCAGATTGCTACTATCAAACAGTTTCATTTCTACTGGTACATGTTTTTATGTTTATAAAGCCAATCTAAAAGTAGCCTGTTTGCCCACAAAGCACACAGTATTGCCCTTAAAATACAGCTGAACAAAGTACTTTTTAAAATATCCATAAGGGTTATTGTAAAATTATAAGATATTATAATACAATTTTTTAAGTGTTGTACTATAACAAGATTTATCTCTTGCAGGCACTGAGTAGCCTATTATTACAGCCTAAACATTCCAAGCTGTAGGAAATGGAACAATACCAAAACCTATTAGGGGCTTTCCTCTGATCAAGCAATTCCACTCCTAGGTATTTATCTAAGAGAAATGAAAACCTCAGCCCACAAAAACTAGAAACAATCCAAATGGCCATCAACATATGAATGGATAAATAAGTTCCACTATATCCATAAAGTGAAATACTGTGCAAAAACAAAAATGGAACAAACTAATGATACACGCAAAAACATGGATAAATCTCAAAAACATTATGCTGAAAGAAGACAATCATTGCACAATTCCATTTATATAAAGTTCAAAAACAGACAAAACTAATGTACGGATATAGAAAGCAAAACAGTGGTTGTTATTGGAGAAATAGAGAAATTAACTGCCAAGGAGCATGAAGGAACTTTAAGAGTGATAGCAATGTTCTATATCTTGATTAGGGTAGTGGTTACATGGGTATATACATTTGTCAAAACTCAAATAATACACTTAAAGTTTATCTGTGCACTTCACTACATGGACATTTCACCTCAGTAAAAACAAGCAAAACAAAACATCTATTAGACCTTTTTCAAGCTACCATTTCTCTCCACAAACTGAGAGACAATGCTACAATAAACACTTCAGGGACATTGGGTGGTCAAGCTATGCCATGCTGTCAATAACAAAGCCAATACTCATTAAAATCTAAAAGCCACTCTGTTACAAAATCAAAAATCTTATCAGGTTTTTTTGATAGATTTAATCTATCTGCTTAAGTGGATAAATTAATCATCTATTAAAAGTTTATACTTTTATCCCTAAAAATTTTCAGACTAACTCAAGCTATATCTACTCAAAGTATACCGATTACCGTCAAAAGAGTTATCAGTCTAACGCTGTATTATGCCTTATTTCACCTAATCAGATGTTGAATTTGGAAGCAACATCTTACAGTTCATTACAATAATATGAAAAGAGTCCACCAAAATGTAAGGTATCACACAAAATACTGGTCACATAAAGCAAGTATAGGAAAAAGTGAAAGGTATCCCAACTCATTCTATGAAGCCAGTACTGTCCTGATACCAAAACCAAAAAGTCACTAGAAAACTACAAGCCATTATCACTTATGAATATAGATGCAAAACTCCAAAAAACTGTTAAGAAACCAAATCCAGCAACATATAACTCTCATCCATGACCAAATGAGATTTATTCCAGGAATGTAAGTTTAATTTAACATCCAAAAACCAATTAATCTAATAATATACTATATCAGTAAAGGACAAAGACCGTATGATCACCTGAATATATGAAGAAAAAGCACTTGTCAAAATCCAACATCTTTTCATAATAAAAACACCCAATAAACTTGGAACAGGAGGGAACTCCTCAACCTGATAAATGGCATCTGTAAAAAAAAAAAAATGAAAAAGAAAAAGAAGAAAACCCCACAGCTTTCATCATTAATGGCAAAAGACTAAATGCTTTCCTCCTAAGATCAGAAACAAGGATTTCTGCTCTTGCCACTTCTATTCAAAATTGTAGTAGAGCTATTAGCTAGGGCAATTAAGCAAGAAATGAAATAAAAAGCATCAGAATGGAAAAGAAAAAATATCTCTATTTGCAAATGACATGATCTTATATAAAGAAAATGCTAAGGCTTCCACTAAAATATTAGTAAGTAGATAAATAAGTTTAGTAAGGTTCCAAGATACAAGATAAATATACAAAACTTAATTGTGTCTCTATACACTTGCAATAAACTATGCTAATATGTAATTAAGATAATTCCATCTACAATAGCATCGAAAAGAATAAAACAGTTTAACTAAGGAAGTACAAAACTTATACTTGAAAGCTATGTAACACTGTTGAAAGACTAAAGACTTAAATAGGAAAACATCCTAAATAGGTCAGAAAACTTAATATTAAGATAGTACTACTCCCTACATTGATCCACAGGTTCGACACAATCTCTATCAAAATCCTAGCTGGCTTCTTGGCAGAAATTGATTAGCTTATCCTAAAATTCACACAGAAATTCACAGGGCCCAGAATAGCCAAAACAAACTTGGGGGCGGGGGGAGAGGATTCTCACGTCCCAATTTCAAAACTTACTACACAAAGCTACAAAATCAAGACAATGTAATAATGGCATAAAGATATATAGATAAATAGAACAGAATTGAAGAGTCTAAAAATAGTCAACTGATTTCCTGCAAGGGTGCCAAGATCATTCAAGAAGGAAAGAATAGTCTTTTCAAAAAAATGGTACGAAGACACCTGGATAGCTACAAACAAAAGAATAATGCTGGTATTTTACCTATAGCATATACCAAAATTAGCTCCAAATGGATCAAAGGCCTAAATATAAAAGCTAAAACTATAAAACTTTTAGAAGAAAACAAGCAATTATACAAATCTTCATTATCTTGAATTAGGAAACATTTCTTAGATGATGCAAAAAACACAAGTGACAAAAGAAAAACCTGAACTGCATCAAAATTAAAAGCTTTCATGCATCTTCAGATATCATTAAGAAAGTGAAAAAACCCACCCACAGAATAGCAGAAGATATCCCCAAATCCTATCTCATAAGAGGCTTGTCACTAGAATGAAGAACTTTATAACTTAATAAAAAGACAAATAACCCACCTTCAAAATGGGCAAAAGATATGAATATACTTCTCCAAATAAAATATATGAATGGCCAATGAGCACATGAAAAGACGCTCGACATCTGTAATTAAATAAATGCAAATCGAAACCACAATGAGATACCATTTCATATCCTATGATGGCTTATAATAATCAAAACAAGTGTTGGCAAAGATGTGAAGAAACTGGAATCTCATACACTGTGCTGACAGAAATGTAAAATACTGCAGTCACTTTGGAAAACAAGTCTGTTTTCCAGTTCATCAAGAGGTTAAACACAGAA